ATTGTGATATCTCTGATAATATTTTCTTTGTTAATACTAGGTCTAATATATTGTCACCTCTAGTAGGTTCTGTAATTAGTTGTTTTTAACAAATTTCCTGTACTGCGTCTAGGAAGTCTTCAGATTCATAGTTCCCTATAATGTTGTCCCAGTCAATATTTCTAAAGTTGAAATCCTCATAATACACACGTTGTTGTATCTTGCTGCCCTACTCATTTCCTACCATATGGCAGGAAATCTCAGAAGTAATAAGTAATTCTGGACAGGTGACCCTCCATCTGACAATCCCTCGTATGGTAATCCAACAACAGGTGACCCTTCAACAGATAATCCCTAACAAGTAATCACCCACAGGTAATCCCTTCAACAGGCAACCCTCGTCAGATATTCCTCCAAAAAGGTAGCCTTAGCCTCAACAGGTAATATACGAACAGGTATATCCTCAAACAGGTATTTCCTCGACAGGTAATCCGCCGGACTGATAATGGTATACCTGGTGCAGAAAAGTTAAGCAGCGGGGGTCATATTTCTGTTTGTGTGTGTGTGTGTGTAAGTCTACACCGGAAGACAACACAACTACTCCCCTCCACCCACCTCTCATAACTCTACACCCGACCCCCGTCCCTTCCACCTACTCACCCTACCTCGCCCACACTATGACCAGGAACACCTTGACGAGGAACCAGGAACAAGGAAAATTATGACCATGAATAAGGAACACTATAACCAGGAACACTAAGACCAGGATCAAGGAAAATTATGACCATGAATAAGGAACACTATGACCAGAACCCAGGAACACTAAGACCAGGAACACTAAGACCAGGATCAAGGAAAATTATGACCATGAATAAGGAACACTATGATACAGAACCCAGGAACACTAAGACCAGGAACAATCTCGACATAAACAATCTACCTTAGTTAGGAACAGACAGAAAAATATATTAGAAGTACTGTAATATAAACACTGGGCAGAAATTAATTACTGTTTATCATTCCTCTAAGACTTAGAAGTTTGGTAAGCAAACCCTTCGAGTCCTGACTCTGTGGTTTGGGAGACCCGGTTTTAATTCACATCCAGTCTCTTCCTCCCTCCTTCTTTGCCCATTAATGATTAGTATTCCCCCATCCATATTTTTTCGTTTTCTGTACATTTCAAGTACTTCTCTTGAAGTTTTTGCTAATCTTAGTACTTCTTCACTTGTTTTCCTGTCAGTGTAGTTTATTCTTAACATTCGCCTAAAACACCACATTTCAAAGGCCTCCAACCTCTCTGCTGTCACCTGAAACTGTCCATGCTTCTGACCCACACAATAGTCCTTGCTATATTAAGCTTTTCAGCAGTCTTTTATATCAAATTGAAGTTAATGTCCTTTTTCATTAGGTCTTTTAGATTAATAAGTGCTGTTTTTGCTTTCCCTATTCTTGTCTCATTTATGCAACAACACAAAGACTTAGGAAATACCCACTATACTATCTTAACTAGAGGAGAGGGAAGCAAGATCAGCGGCTTCAGTCCACGAGACAAAAGTAACACGTACCCTAATGATATGTTTTCTATACAATAAAACAAATACTGTATATTAAAAAGGCTCCAGTCGATTTTTCCGTCCCAGTTACAGTCAGGTAACAAAATTATCGTAAACTGATTTGAAATTCCTACGTGTAAGACAAAGTGAGGTGTGAGGGTTGTCACCCAGTGCTAACCTGTGTGTGCTGGTGGTGTACTAGAGGCTACCAACGTCATCTTTTAATACACATATGAGCCTGGAGCAACAGTTTGTAAGTTAATATAAAATGCATTGCCTAGTCCGCACACGCTCGCGAGTTTGTTAAGTAAATGTCTGTGTGTATGTCTGTGTGTGTATTTATTTGTGTGTGTATTTATCTGTGTGTGCATTTACTGCGTGTGTATATATCAGTGTGTGTATAAGTCTGTGTGTACAGTATATGTCTATGTGTGTGCATATATTTGCTTGTGTATACAACGTCAAGCATCAAATACAGCGAGAAAAGGAAGTCAGGTGAGGGATGGAAGGGTCAGGTGAGGGAAGGAAGGGTCAGGTGAGGGAAGGCTCAGGTGAGGGAAGGAAGGGTCAGGTGAGGGAAGAAAGGGTCAGGTGAGGGATGGAAGGGTCAGGTGAGGGAAGGAAGGGTCAGGTGAGGGAAGGAAGGGTCAGGAGGGAAGGAAGGGTCAGGTGAGGGAAGGAAGGGTCAGGTGAGGGAAGGAAGGGTAGGTGAGGGAAGGGTCAGGTGAGGAAAGAAGGGCAGATGAGGGATGGAAGGGTTGTGAGGGAAGAAAGGTCAGGTTAGGGAAGAAAGGGTCAAGTGAAGGAAGGAAGGGTCAGGTGAGGGAAGGGTCAGGTGAGGGAAGAAAGGGTAAGGTGAGGATGGAAGGGTCAGGTGAGGGAAGAAAGGGTCAAGTGAAGGAAGGAAGGGTCAGGTGAGGGAAGGGTCAGGTGAGGGAAGAAAGGGTCAGGTGAGGGATGGAAGGGTCAGGTGAGGGAAGAAAGGGTCAGGTGAGGGAAGAAAGGGTCAGGTGAGGGAAGGAAGGGTCAGTGAGGAAGGTCAGGGTGAGGAAGAAAGGGGTCAGGTGAGGGATGAAGGTCAGGTGAGGGAAGAAAGGGTCAGGTGAGGGAAGAAAGGGTCAGGTGAGGGAAGGAAGGGTCAGGTGAGGGAAGAAAGGGTCAAGTGAAGGAAGGAAGGGTCAGGGTGAGGGTGGTCAGGTGAGGGAAGAAAGGGTCAGGTGAGGATGGAAGGGTCAGGTGAGGGAAGAAAGGCCAAGTGAAGGAAGGAAGGGTCAGGGTGGAGGAAGGGTCAGGTGAGGGAAGGAAGGGTCAGGTGAGGGATGGAAGGGTCAGGTGAGGGAAGAAAGGGTCAGGTGAGGGAAGAAGGGTTCAGGTGAAGGAAGGAAGGGTCAGGTGAGGGAAGGGTCAGGTGAGGGAAGAAAGGGTCAGGTGAGGGAAGAAAGGGTCAGGAGGGAAGAAAGGGTCAGGTGAGGGAAGAAAGGGTCAAGTGAAGGAAGGAAGGGTTGAGTGAGGGAAGGGTCAGGTGAGGGAAGAAAAGGGTCAGTGAGGGAAGAAAATAGGTGAGGGAAGAAAGGGTCAGGTGAGGGAAGGAAGGGTCAGGTGAGGGAAGGAAGGTCAGAGGGAAGGAAGGGTCAGGTGAAGGAAGGAAGAAGGTCAGGTGAAGGAAGGAAGGAAGGGTCAGGAGAGGGAAGGAAGGGTCAGGTGAGGGAAGGAAGGGGTCAGGTGAGGGAAGGGAGGGTCAGGTGAGGGAAGGAAGGGTCAGGTGAGGGAAGGAAGGGTCAGGTGAGGGAAGAAAGGGTCAAGGAAGGAAGGGTCAGGTGAGGGAAGGGTCAGGTGAGGGAAGAAAGGGTCAGGTGAGGGATGGAAGGGTCAGGTGAGGGAAGAAAGGGTCAGGTGAGGGAAGAAAGGGTCAGGTGAGGGAAGGAAGGACAGGTGAGGGGAGGAAGGGTCAGGTGGAGGGAAGGAAGGTCAGGTGAAGGAAGGAAGGGTCAGGTGAAGGAAGGAAGGAAGGGTCAGGTGAAGGAAGGAAGGAAGGGTCAGGTGGAGGGAAGGAAGGGTCAGGTGAGGGAAGGAAGGGTCAGGTGAGGGAAGGAGGGCTCAGGTGAGGGAAGGAAGGGTCAGGTGAGGGAAGGAAGGGTCAGTGAAGGAAGGAAGGGTCAGGTGAGGGTGAAGGTCAGGTGAGAGAAGGAAGGGTCAGGTGAGAGAAGGAAGGGTCAAGTGGAAGGAAGGAAGGGTCAGGTGAGGGTAGGGAGGGTCAGGTGAGGAAGGAGGGTCAGGTGAGGGGGAAGGAAGGGTCAGGTGAGAGAAGGAAGGGTCAGGTGAGGGAAGGAGGATCAGGTGAGGAAGGGAGGATCAGGTGAGGGAAGGAAGGGTCAGGTGAGGAAGGAAGGGTCAGGTGAGGGAAGGAAGGGTCAGGTGAGAGAAGGAAGGGTCAGGAGGGGAAGGAAGGGTCAGGTGAGGGAAGGAAGGGTCAGGTGAGGGAAGGGAGGGTCAGGTGAGGGAAGGAAGGGTCAGGGGTGAGGAAGGAAGGGTCAGGTGAGGGAAGGAAGGGTCAGGTGAGAGAAGAAGGGTCAGGTGGAGAGAAGGAAGGGTCAGGTGAGGGAAGGAAGGGTCAGGTGAGGGAAGGAAGGGTCAGGTGAGGGAAGGGAGGATCAGGTGAGGAAGGAAGGGTCAAGTGAGGGAAGGGTCAGGTGAGGGAAGGAAGGGTCAGTGAGGGAAGGAAGGGTCAGGTGAGGGAAGGGAGGTCAGGTGAGGGAAGGGAGGGTCAGGTGAGGGAAGGAGGGTCAGGTGAGGGAAGGAAGGGTCAGGAAGGGAGGGTCAGGGTGAGGGAAGGAGGGTCAGGTGAGGAAGGAGGGTCAGGAAGGGAGGGTCAGGGAAGAAGGGTCAGGGTGAGGGAAGGAAGGGTCAGTGAGGGATGGAAGGGTCAGGTGAGGGAAGGAAGGGTCAGGTGAGGGAAGGAAGGGTCAGGTGATGGAAGGAAGGGTCAGGTAAGGAGACTCAGTTGTCATGGTATTATTACAGTTTCAGCCACAACTCGTTTAGAGCAATTTTGTGTTTACCATTTGTTATATCTTGTCAATAGGAACAACGTTTTCTGATACCACTTCCGTTGCAAATGGATATTAACCGAGAAAGTAAATTCACGTAAGAAATTAACGTAAATCTAGTCACCGCGTGTCATCTGTTTGTTTCCAGCCGACCCGTTCATTCTGAGCCGTACTGTACTGTACTGTACTGTACTGTACTCACGTCCACAAAAACGTAAAATTACGCCATGATGATTCAACAAAGTTATTTTCATTGGCACCAAATATCAAAATAATTACTTTTTGCTTAATAGGCGGGGACGGCTAGGTAGTTAGGTAAGGTCAGGTAGGTTTTTGTTGATTTGGTCAGGTTGCATGGGGACGGGAGGGGGGTAAGTCCAAAAACAACTCATTTCCGACGGAAATGAATGTCAAATTGAATGTAAGGCAGTTTTGACGGTGTTTTCGTTGACAGTGTCGAGCCAGGTCTTCCTTATGGCTGGGCCGCCGTCGACGCTGTTGTAGAGCCAGGTGAAGACGTTGTTAGTCCATTTGACAGCGTCAGGATCAGCTCCTGTCGCTACGGGGGCGGTGACGGGCTCCCCGCTCCTGTCAGGAACAATGGTGGGCTTCCTGGCAGGCTCGGCCGGTTTGACTTCAGGACCTGACCTCCCCGGGGCTGACTTCTTGACCGCGGTCTTATTTTTTTCATCTTTAGGCTCACCTCTTGGCTGTGTATCATGTGGCCTTCCTAAATCACCACTCTCATACTGGTATATGAATTTAAAATAAAAGAAAGTGCCAATTATTAAAATCAACGCCACGAATATCATCCATCCCACGAGAAGAGTATTAAGGGTATCCATGATAGAGGCGAGGCCCAGGCCGCTAAGGCCCCCTACTGCCACCCACGATCGCACTTGCTCAACTAAGCCATCGAGAGCGAACGCCATGTTGTCAGTGGCTCCCTCTACCCATGCCCAAAATACTCCTACATGCCCACTACTGCCCATGACTAAAAATAACTCCCGGCCGGGCGACTCAGAAATAGACAGGTAGGTACTCGTCAGCCCGTGCCTGCGGGCCAGTCCCAGATCATGTTTCTGCACCACCCCACAGGCACCTGTTCACAATCCGCACGCCCCGTATGACTGAACTGGTTACCCCGGTATCCTGCTGCTCCCTCACCAGCCCAGCTGACGCGACTGTTTAGTTTCCATGGTGATACCGATTGAATCTGCCACTCTCCTAGTGTAATGTCTCGTACTGTAATTCCTTTTAAACAATATATCTCCGATTGTTCAGTTGAATTACAATTAAAACAGATATTACTCAAATCTTATAACTTGGTTACTAGTATGTATCGATGTAACTTTTAATGGTTTTACGCCTAATTGGGAATAATTTTCTGTATAGTTATACCTTAAAAGATTCTTAGTCCGTAAACGTTTGTTTACATCCGTTCGGTGGTGTTTCTCGGTGTTGGCGGACGTAGGATGTAAAGTATCCTGCGTCTGGTGGTAAGGCAGTTTGACCAGTGAAGCCAGGGAGATGATTGTGTACTATAACCCATGGCTCTGTAGGTACTTATGATGCTGTGTACATTTTTAATTACACGAAGTATCTGTTTACACTATACTGTAGTAATTTTTAAACGTTCCTGGATCTAAGAGAAAACTTGTAGTAAATACCTTTGCTGTTATGCGTGATAATGTTTTTTATCACAACTAACGAAATGGTAGTGACTAAACTTTTACTTTAATTTATCAGGATAGTTAATTGTGGATATTATAACGTAATGAAAGTTTAATATTATCTACTAGTTTAGCATCGCTACCTTAGCAATAACCCTTTTTCTTGGGAATTTTCTCCAAAAATGTCTCATGCATAAAATACAAATTGCTTCCCTAACCTAACAGCTATGATCAGCTTTGAAATTACTTGAGGAATGGTTAATGGGCTGTGCATCTTTAGACTATAATGTTTCAGCAAAATAAGTATAACCAAGCAATTAATTATGATTTTAGCAGAAACAAACTACAGTACTGGACAATTTAACTTTTCTGAAGAAACCTGAAGAAACCTAATGCTGTACAGTAAAAGTCTTTCCTGATAGTTCTTGCTTTTGAACTCGGGTGAGTTTTGTTACTCTCCTTTGAAATTTTTCCATCGTGTCAACAATATCCCTTCTCAGATATGGAGATTAAAGTTGTAGTTTTTTTTAGTGCTCCAAAAGCTTAGAGCCACACGGCCTACTTGTTATTTGTTAAGCAGATTCATTATTGTTTTTTCTTGTTCAGGAGTTGGATTTACATTTTAAGCATCACTCAAGTCTCTTAATGAAAATTACAAGCAATACAAACCATTAATATGATAACTACCCTGAAGCAGTCTATTACCTGAAGAAACAAAGGGGTCCTGTAGGTATAACAGCCAGTTAGGGGCAGCATGGATGCCATACATTGATGATTAAACATTTTTTAAGTACTGTATATATGGAGGCATTGCTGACACTGCACTATACCACCTTCACTTCCCCAGCTGTAAAGTTTACGGTACCCATTCATAGCCAGGTGGACTGAGGGTGTTCTGTATCACATATTCATAAGTGAAACATAATGTGAAGTGTTTGACCTCTGCTTATTACTAAATTTGTGGCATGCTAAAATTTAGACCTCATTTACCGGTACCTCTGAATCTTTTAATTTCTATCTGTAGTATAGTACAGTATCATGATCATTAGCTTTGGTGAGAAGGTTCTAACATACTTAAGATGTACAGTATAATAGGTCGGTAGAGAAGATTTGTAATACTATACAGTAGTGAATTTGAAAATAGAACAGGAAGGAGGATGTAAGACTATACTGTACACTACAGCACAGTGTATAGGAAATGCACTGACTCATTAAGTTATTATCTGTGAGTGTCAGTAGAGGTTTAATTTACCTGTTTCACCCCATTTAGGAAAAATCTGTCATAGACATAACTACTTCACTTTGATACAACTATTCGGACTTTAACTGCAGTTAGAATGGTGAGAGAATGTTGTTTTAAATGCTCATCATTCTACTCTGGCTGGAGGTCTTGCAAGAGAGAAAAACTCTTCTATCCTCATGACATAGGAGCCATGGACTCAAGGTATTAGTAAACTAAGATGAGAATAATATGTTTTAAGAGGGTTGTAATGATATATTCAAAAGGATTCCATTCTGTATTAATGTGCTTTGCTATAAAGTTCTTTTCCGCAACACAATCCTAAGATTTCTGAATGGTTTACCCATTGCTTCATACAAACCAGTGCTGTATCACCCATTAACATTAGATCCTACCCGGGCAACCCCTTAAACAACTACTGTAAACATGATGCTCTGATCATGCACATACACCACTTCATATTGGAATACCCATCCTTCACCTCCCTCATTTACTTAACCTCTCCAACCATCTTTTTGAGAAATAAATAGCCTTCTTGCCAATCTTTCATTTCCCATAATGTTTTTGCAGGTACCACCGTAGCAGACCCTCATCAATCCTATGAGATACCTCTTTCTCTGCACCTTATAATTGTTTGCGTCTTATCCCACATTTTTTCAGGCTCATCCATTCTGCCCCCTCCTAAATTATTTTTTCCGCTTAATATAGCCTTACTATATTGTGCTCTCAAACAGTCATTCATTAAAATTAGTAACTTTTTGTCTAAGTTACCCAACACAACAGTTTCATCTGCTAACTAACCACACATTTGCACCCCAGATCCATGTCTCACACCTGCTCACTCCCCAATCTATGATTTTTTTTAGAAAAACCATTGCAACAATTTACATAATTCATGAAATCTTATTCTCACAGGAAATTACAGCAGTTAAAACTCTTCCAGATTTGCTTTAAAAGTACTTTACTCTATAAAAACTGTAAATAGCGTTATACTGTACTGTACAGGTATATGAAACAGGGTTAATTGAAAAAAATTATCATCTGGAAAGCATGTTTATTTTATTTAAAATTTTACACTCTGTCTGAGAGATATCTTTTGGATTGTTGAATACTATATACAGATTGTTATTCTACCCAAAGTCAGAGTCAGAATCTTCATCACAGGATTATTTTGGTATAGGAACATGAAAAAAAGAAATACTATAACTGAGACCTAATAGTTGCTATATGGCAACATAAAATACATGGCTAAACACTACCCATACAAATATCTTTCTGGTCAAAACTAGACATCACTCATTGTAGGGGTTTGCAGCAGCATTCCAAGGTAAGTAATCTCATTTAAAACTAGACAATGAAAATAAACTAAATAAGAAAATATTGGTTAAGAGTAGTTCCATGTTTAGCTGCATCTGTTTTGTATTTATCAGTCATTAGAAAATGACTAACCACTTACATATTCACATTAATCATACTTGTGCATTTGAGATGTACAGTACACTACAATTTTGTATTATAATCTTTCAACACCTTTCCAGTACCTTCTCCAAGACAGAGGGAGCCCCTTAACATGTGCCTGGGAGAGATTGGTGATGCCTTGTCTGTCTGTCTTTGGTTCCCTAAGAAAAACAATTTGATACTTTGTACCTTGTATGTGCCTCCATTCCTTAGGCTAAAAAATAAAGATTTGTCTTTACGAAAAACTTTACATATACAGTATTCCAGACAAGAGAGGTATGAATGAGGAAAAGTTAAACATGTCGAAAGCTTTATTTAGAAACTTTTGTATCATGAAAGTTTATTAACTATGTTTGAAGACAATCACAGACTACTGTTGGTTTGGGAATTTGTTGAGTATAACTAGAATACACAGGTAATGTTGACATCACAGTAACAGTCAGTGGATGATGATGATGCATCTCAATCTAAACTTAAATTTGTGGGGTCTTAGAGGGTAACTGACATCCATCTCAACTGGCAAGTCTTGTTGGCCACTATTAACAGCCACCAACCCAAGCATAAATAGTGTTCAAGATGACATATGCAAGGTATGAAACCATTCATCAATCCTTCATGATTTTCACTGTTCCACTTGCAAAATGCAAAACAACTTTACTAGGGTCCAATCATGGGTATGTAGTCAGAAATTACATCACACAGTGTAGACCAGTGGTTCTTAACTTTTTTTGGCAGTGGCCCAGAATCTACCATGGCGACCCATGTCCTCGCAAACTTTATTTTCAACATTCAGGTATTTTAATGATATCTATTTTGGGTAAATAAACATACAGCAATGAATAAGATGCATGATAAATCTTTCAACAATTGATAGCTGATATGAAAGTAGGTACTGTACTTATTGTAATGTCAAGTTAAACAGAAAACTATAATATTTTTGCTGTAGCCAGAAAAAAAGAAAACTGAAGAAAAACTTTACATAATAGAAAATGAAACTGCTGATGTATGCACTTTTGATAAAATCCAAAATAAAATGGGGTTATATACAGGACATACTACTAATAATTAATGATTCTACCTGGGAGTCAGGCCCTGGACACAGTATACTAGCTTCTACTCAATGACGGGCTTATGAATTAGTGACATTGCTAGCATTCGAAATGAACAGCAGATCTGATGTCGCCACCACAGAAAGACTTTGGTGCCACCTTGCCATACTTTTAACCAATGATGGTTGGGGGCTCCTCTATGCTGAATAAAATCTGGCATTAGCCTCCAATTACTATAAATAGGGCCTAGGTATGGATCAGCAACACGTTAATTGAGATAATTTTTAAAAATTGACACTCACTGGAAACCCTTGCTGATCTTGGGGTTAAGAACTACTGGTCTAGATAAATAATAGGTTTCAGTACAACAGTATCTGTTACATTCATGTCATCTGCCATTACCTTTCTTGGCTAGTAAATATCCACCCATGCTTTTAGAATTGCAAAATTATTAAAACCTAATGAGAAATAAAGTATTAATTAATTATGGCCACAACTTATGGAAGCAATGTTATCCTGAAAATTGAGTGTCCCACAGGGATCTACAACTTCAGTATCATATACCATTGTTTACCATATCCTACCTTTAAATGAAAATAATAAATACCCTAATACCATTCTCAAATTCTACTCCATCCTATCACATTGATTTAAAAGAAGCTTCATTGTGACCATTTCAAAAGTAACATCAGTTATATTTATATGACTTACTCTAGTCTAGATTTTAACTCCTGATGTTTACAGAAAGTCATGAAAAGAACAATACCATCTGGATATATATAAATACTGCCATACTCACATAGGTACTGTATATCATTACCTGTGTGATGCTGTATGGAGGAGAGCTCACAAAGATACAGAATAAAGTACATTAACCAGTTGACAGATGCATATGGTCACACTGAGCTCATAGCAAACTACAGCATTCATCTGACTGAGGATCTATGTCATACCCATTCTACAATGCAAGAGGAATGATCAGTAAACTACCCTACCTTGCCACCAAGAACCCATTGTCAATGTGACAAAAGTGAATCTGATACTGTTTGTGAGAAAAGGAGGAAATTACACTAGATTAATGATGTTTTTTTGTGCATGTATCACCTTGACTATTTAAGATTCACGCCGTGCTTCTATAGAGGTGTGTATAACATGGTCAGTTAGCCTTTAACACCATCACATACAACAGAGATCACTTACACCATGTGTGTGAAGTTTACCTCCCAATTAATACTTTCACCAGTTTGTTTCTTTTTTATCTGAATGGTGGTACATTCCCTCCAAAACTTCTCTAACTTATATACAATATAATAAAATCTAGAGGAAATACTGGTTTCACCTTATAAACTTTATTGTATATGGTATTTCTGAACTCTTAAATGCAAAACTTATTGCATTAAGGAACTGAACTGCATACAATAAAACTTAGCCTGCCCAAATTGATAGAACGGAGCAAAAACAAAAAGTTTTGATGACACAAAATAATCACATACTGGCTCAGAACTTTCCTTGGGAGGAATTTATATTTTTTAGAAAAAATAAATAAAAGTCCTACCTTAGCATCAGCATGATCAGCACCATTAAGTAACAAAGAATATTCAGCCCTCACTGATTTGACCCACCTATATCAAATCAACTTGGCTTGGCTAATTTTGATGGAATAAGTGTCTTAATTTTCAGATTCCTAATGAAACAACTTTGGCCAAAAAAATAACAATAACCATAACAATAATACTAATAAAAATTATATGAACATGGCCTAATCACAACTGTTATAGATACTTGAGTCACAAAATGGAATAGCGACACTCATTCCAATCTGAGCATCAAGGCACGTGGATTAAGCCTTACTCAGATACCTGGAAAGCAGGCTGTCTCGGGAGTTGTCAAGAAAGACCCTTGTCACTTGAACATTCAGGTGCAGAGGTTTCCCCTGCCAACATATTAATAAAAATATAAAGATATACTGATCAATATAAGCTTCAATATTTTCAGAAGTTAATAGCAAGATTCTAACTATACATTAATGAAATTTAAAGATAAGGTGCAATACTGACTTTTAAAATACAAATGAGACTGAATTTATAGACTGCAGACAGGTGAAATTCTTTTTAAACTTTGTACTTAGTTTAAAACGAGTTTCAGAATTAACAAATTATACTGTTTGATCAAATATACTGTACTCTGACCAGGGGAAACGCCTACCGCATACCCGTTCACATGGAGGCAGGATAAACACATTTGTTGACAAATATACACAAACAATGGCTCTTGTCTTGTACCTCACTTCAGAGGAAATATGGTGTTGTGTGAACTGGAGGAATTACTCTCTTGTCCTCTGGCACTGCATCAAATAACTTTGCATGCTTCTCATTGGTTGATGTAAAGCTGAGAATGGAGGCCACGTTGCCAGCACGGTAGCAATAGTTGGGAGCTGACCACACTGTTACCAGCTTACCATCAAACATGTACTTGATACCTATTGTAATAAAAAAATAATAATTATAAGAAATTATACTAGTCACTGGCAATTTTTTTTTTAAATTTGTCTAACAACAAAATTAAGCACTATACAGTATTTATCTGAATATCTGATACACCATTCCCTCCATAAGATTTTCAATACATTTAAATGTCACAAAAAATGTCAATAAATAAAAAATCAAATGTAAGTAAATGAGGCTAATAAGACCTTTCCTCACATTAATATATGAACATTACAGGGACATACCTTCATTGACAAGTTGGTGAGCTCTACATATGAGCTTTAAGTTGTTAGTTTCAGTAAACTGATGAGTAACTCTGGCACCAAAGAGCCAACCAGCTCCCCGAGGAGACATAGACCATGAATCTATCTCTTCAGGGTCACTCCATACCAAGTCACAGAAGGCACCTGTTAATATAATTTACTTGTATAAAAAATAAATACCGTATATACTCGTCTATAACCCCCCTTCGTATATAGGTCGACCCTGATTTTTTGACCAAGAAATCGTTAATTTATGATATTCCTCGTTTATAGGTCGACCCACGTTTTTGAGGGTAAAGGAACAACAAAACCTTCAGAAAAACACTACGTCCTATAAACTTGTTTACCATTTATTATTACGACACTTTACACTGAAATGTGGGTAGTTTCAACAAAAATATTGTATATTTCCATTCAAGTATTTATTCAAGTCAATTAGGAGGGAATATTATTGTAATACAATAGTTATTTAACTGAAAACCATTCGAAAAGCGATTACGGTAACATATTTTGAACGAAAGAAAGCAAAAGTCATTGTTTTCGTCACAATTTTATCCCACTTTCCACTGTAATACGTACGTCATTTCAGCAAAATATATTACATTTCCGTGAATGTATTATATCAACCACAGTATGAATAGAATATCTCTAATATAACAGTATTTTAACCGAAAACTATTAAAAAAACGAGTAACATATCTTGAACATCGGAAGGTTTGGTAAAGTCTTTTGTTTTCGTCATGAAGTTTATCCTAATTTACATTGAAATACATCACGTTTCAGCAAAACTACTATTTATTTTTGAGAATATGGAAATGTAATATTTTTGCTGAAATGACGTACGTATTATAGTGGAAAGTGGGATAAAATCGTGACAAAAACAATGACTTTTGCTTTCTTTCGTTGAAAAGATGTTACCGTAATCGCTTTTCGAATGGTTTTCGGTTAAAAACTGTTGTATTACAATAATATTCTATCCTAATGCACTTGTGATGTAACAGTTTTTTAACTGAAAACGATTCGAAAAACACGTGTACTGTCTAGCTGATACGGCAGAGCCCTGGTCGCGGAGGCTTTGTGTTTGCATCGGCCCTTCTTAAGCAGCTTTTAATTTTAGCGTACGTTGAAATTGTGTTTACCGGTATATTCTTATTTTCTTGCTTCTTATTTTCCAGAAATATGACAAGTTTGTATATAATACAATGTTACGGTACTTTTAATTTACAAGTATTCATTTTTAAAAATACAGAAGACACCAAACAAATACCAGTACTACGGTTATTTGCGTGACTCTCCCGCCAAAAAAGACCAAACAGCTGGTACTCTCTCCCTCAGCCCTACCAAAAATAGCCCAACGACATCTTTCTTGTTTATTCTCTTCCAATTTCTCACTTTAACTGGTATTTTTTACTTCATATTGCCTACATCAGATAAACTACAGTAATTGAGGTTAGACACTGTTATAAATTTGATTACCGAGGTCCTGGCAGGTGCCGTTAGAACCACCTGACCCTACCAACAGTGTTGCAAGTCAGACAGCATTTTTTTAATCATCCATGTGCACGAGAAAGGATGGATGGATGAAGGCGGCATACAAATATGGCTTAAAAAAGTCTGGAACTTTAGACCAGGGGGACTGCGCAAAGAAAAAAGTCTTCTTGTGTGGGATATGTTTCGGTCACATCTTGTTGACAGTGTTACTGCTGGGATTAGGAAGGAAAACACTGATACAGCTGTGATTCCTGGTGGATTAACAAGTCTTGTCCAACCACTGGATGTTTCCATAAACAAACCATTTAAAGATGCGGTAAGAGTGAAGTGGAACAACTGGATGATAGAAGGCGATAAGACATACACAAAGGGAGGCAACATCCAAGCTCCATCACTAGCAACATTATGTGAATGGATTGTAGAGGCCTGGGATACAATCAGACCAGAAATTGTGGTGAAATCTTTTAAGAAATGTGGAATTTCGAATGCTCTTGATGAAACAGAAGACGACTTGTTGTGGGATTATGAGGCTAATGAGAGCGTGAATGAGGATGAAGATATTGATGATCCTATGGCTGATGATGGTGTTGATCCATATGACGATGCTGTTCAAGAAGAGGACTGGGAGTAGCTGTTTGGTGCTGAAGACGATGACTATGAAAATTATTTTGATGGAATTTAATGAAAATATTCAGAAATATGGTATCGTAGTATTTATTCAAGTCAATTAGGATAGAATATTATTGTAATTCAACAGTTTTTTAACTGAAAACCATTCGAAAAGCGATTACGGTAAAATCTTTTGAACGACGAAAGAAAGTGAAAGTCATTGTTTTCGTCACAATTTTATCCCACTTTCCACTGTAATACGTACGTCATTTCAGCAAAAATATTACATTTCCATATTTATTTCTGAGAATATATTCATTCAGGCACAGTTAAGGTAAAATATACTTGTGATGTGATATTTTAATGAAAATATTTATAAATAAGGTATCGTATTTTTCTTTTGTTTCAAATTTATTTAACAAAGATTGATGTTTCAAATTTAATAAACAAAAATTTATGTATCTATAAATAAACTTTTAAAAATGAATACTTTATGTTTTACATACTCCTGTGCATACCATACCATGCATTTGGCTACTTTGGGCTTGCTATGATGACGCAAGAGATCTGCCCTGGCAACTGTACCGACACTCACAGCGGGTGGTGCGTTGGTGCGTCGTTTCCATTGTTTACTGGTAGTTACTGGTAAATATTTTTCAACCTAACGAAACTATTACCCGTATAGAGGTCGACCCCCAACTTTTTGCCAAAAAATTTGGTCTTAAGAACTCGTGCTATACACGGGTATATACGGTAAATAAATAAATCCCATTTTATGTCTGAGGGGATGATTAACCACTGGCAGAGCCAAACATTGCCAGGGAGTTTATATTGCAAGAAATGACATCAGAATTGGGAAAATGACAAGAGACTGCGCAGCATAGAGAGCTGCCATCGGGTAACTAAGGATAACTCACAGAAGCATGAAAATTGGCCATAAAATAATGATGATGAGTGACAGGACATAACATCTCTGTGGATAATTTTTATGCTACAAGCAGCTCCTCACCTACTGTACAGTAGTCTAATCCAAGTTCTGAATTTCTAACCTGGTGGCCATCTTAATCAACTAATGAGGCCCTATGGTCAGGAGTAGTAACAAGCAGTTAAGTTCATGTATCTCAAATATCTCAGCCATAAATGAGTTTCACAACTCACTAAATTTAGTTTCTACCAAATCACATCACTTTAGGAAGGAGAGAAGTATTCCAGGTTACCCATCCCAGACTCTAGGCCAAGAAATGGAACTTCATACTTAAAATTTTCATTTATGGCCCATTGCGAAGAGTGACCTACAAGGTTTCAAAACATCTGTGAACTGGGAGGGAGCTGGTGGTCATGTGCCAAGAAAACCTAATGAATACACCTCAAAATAGGAAGGATCCGCTCCTTGGGCTAAATTTTTTGGACAAACCTTGTATTCTTCCTATAATCATAGTCCAGATTGTGGCATAAGCCATACTTGTCTTCTCAGTACAGTACCATAAGTCTTACTTGTCTTCTCAGTACAGTGCTATAAGTCTTACTTATTTTCTCATGACAGTACTATAAGCCTTACTTGTCTTCTCAGTACAGTACAGTATTTCTATCTGGGGTCCAGGAGGAAGGTTGACAGGACACCATAAATGGCTCAGGAGTGAGTTGTGAACTTTACGGCTGAATAAGTTTGAGATACATAAAGCTTATTTGAAGTTCTAACTCACGACTCATACTGATCTAGACAATCCCTGGACCATGGATTTGGAATATGAACATTATCCACATAAATGTGCCCTGGTGCTAAGCAATCCCAGCTCTGGCAATGACAGGTTCTGATAGGGGTAATGTTGTGGCGGATGACCTTGCATGTCATTCAAGAGCCTTCAGGCATTAAAAGGGTGCAAATTAATTAAGAGCATGTATGTATATCAAGTAATTTTCCTTAGCCCTGTTCAATTCAGGATATACAGTATCATAAGTAGACAAGAAAAAATCACAAGTCTAACACAGGTGCCAGTAATCAAACGTATATGTATTTTTATTTGTTGTTACGGAAGCAATTAAAGCTTTATATGGGTCTTGTAAATATACGTAAACTTTTACATGGTACAATAACTTTCCTAGCCCATTCATTTTGGGAATACCATTCTTAATATTTTATTTGGCTAATACCAGACAATCATATTCAGTTCACATGGGAATCTGTACATAAGATGTTGAAATAAAGACATTTACATTAATGCTCCTTACCTTTATGGGGAATCTCCTGATTTCGGTTTATTGTTCTGATCTGGTCAAGGGTATTGATTTCTGGAGACAAACCTCCATGGACACACAGAACTTCATCATCAATAATCTGTGAATTGTAAGTAAGAATTTTGAGGTTAAAATATCACTGAAGCTGTCCAGCCTATATCACAGTGTAATACAGTACCAAGAATTCATCTGAACAATAAAGAGGCTAGCAAAATGTGAGCAGTGATTGAGGAGTTTAACACTAAAGGGACTACAGTACCAGAATTGGAGCAGTAATGAAGGAAAAGCAATTTGAATTTCAAGATTGGATGAGGGAGTAAAAAGGAGGACCAGGAACAGAAGTGTGAACAGATCAATAATAAATTGAGACAAAGTAACATTATGGTTCAGGAATTGAGAGAAAATTGTATAGTACATCCGAGTAAAATAAAAAGGGATGACTGATTGCAAGATAGCACAGCTGAGTGCATAGGTCATATCTGAATGGAAGAACTACATTAGATATATTACAATGTGTAGAAGAGCTTTAAAATGAACTTTCTAAGTTACCCTGCACTTGATTTAATTAGGATTTTGACAGTTATACAGTACAGTACTTGGTAAAGAATAGATAATTTGTAGCGGACATGAGAACTATACAATTAATACAGTCAACCCTCGCTTTAAGGGTCCCACTTTACGCGTTTCCACGTTTACGCGGTACCCTGCCGAACACGGAATACTCACTTTCCGCGGTGTATGTACCCTTTTACGCGGAGAGCGGCGCGAGCAGGGGGCGCACAAGGTCGCCCAGTCATCAAAACATTACCGAGTTCTTCACCCGCCACCCACCACAGCCGGCCCAAGTCAGTGATAGTGATAGTGAGGATATGGACTTATATGGACTTTAGTGGGAAAGTTTAATAAAGAGGTCTCAAGCCTTCAGGTGGATAGTGATAATTGATACAGTGATACAGGTGAGGGCCAATAATTCGTTCTTCTGTTCGAACCAACCCCCCATCCCTCGCAGGTGCTGCCCAGCCATCTTTTCTACTAATGTAAGTGTTAAAAAACCTAATATTATTGATATTTCTCTTAATTATTAATTGTGTGTGCATACCATCATAAAATTAAGAAGTTATTTTTACTACAACGTAGGTATTGTGTCTGAAAAAGTGGAGTTTGGGGGTCGGCCCGGTCTCTATTTCAATTAATCCCATATGTCATATTGTTCACTTTAAGCGTTTCTCACTGTACGTTATTACTGTACAAGTAGAATGGGGTTTTAAGTATATGACTTGATACCAACTTACAGCAGCTATAGTAAGAAGATCAAACACCTTGCAGCAGTATTTCCAAGCATTCACATTCCCATACTTGTTTTGGCACTCATCTGCAAATGTGAGATAAAAAACCCATATCAGATCATGTAGCAACAATTTGTTTGACTACATATATCACCAAGTTCAAATGGTTTTGTTAAATTTTTTCACACTCTGTACCTGTATTTGGGTTATCAATCAACTGCATTTTTTATAATAAAGTAATATTCATTAAATAACATACAGGTATTTGTTATTATGGAACTTTACTGTAATAATAAAAACTAAAGTGATGGACTAGGTAAAACAGTACAGTATTCTCAATAATAAGCAAAAGGACAAAATCTTACCATAAAATCCATACACTTGAGTAATCTGACGTGATTCGTGGTTTCCTCTAAGTAGAGTTATCTTGTGTGGCCATTTTGCCTTAAGAGAGAGGAGCCGGGTGAGGGTTTCTAAACTATAGTATCCTCGGTCCACAAAATCACCCATAAAGATGTAATTAGTGTCCGGAACTTGACCACCCGTTCGAAATAGTTCCTCTAAGTCATAGAACTGTAAAAAGATCATTATGGATATTAATTTAAAGTATTAATACTGGAACATTAGCACATCAAAAAATAAAAAAGTATATCTACTGTACAGCGCAGGAGTACATTACTTGTTTTACAAAATTAATACAGCACATACAAATAACATATACAGTAGACCCTTCCCATTCTCGGGTTTACGATTCACGATTTCGACGATTCGCAGAAAGCAGCTGATGGCTCGGGTGGCTTGGATGTGAGCCTTCTCCCGCAGCGCAACGAGTCACCCCACACGCCCAAAGCGTCTCATCTCCCTGTTTGCCCTCACCCAGTACCTGTGACCTAGCATTCCGTGTTATACTCTCAAAACTTTTGTGTTTCTTTGTGAAAATAGCTCTGAAAAGACTGCCTAGTGTCAGTGATGCTTGTGGAGTGAAACATAAAAGGCAGAATTCAGTGATGACCCTGGCAAAGAAAATTTAATTATTAGACAAGTTAAAGGAGGTTGTTTGGTGTTAACGAATACACAGTGCGGTATATCAAGAAAATGAACAAGCAGTTCGTGATACTATTCAAGCGAGTCCTCCTGCAAGTGCTAAAGTGGCGCAGGTTGTTCGTGACAAGAACATAGTGAAAACTGAGAAAGCACTTAACATTTGGATTGAGGACCAGTACCGCAAAAATGTTCTGATCAACAGCAACGTGAAAAGGCTGAGTCTTTATGCTCGTTTTTACGAGTCAACAGGTAGTGAAGGGGTAGTGCAGTGACTGAACCAACTTTAAGTGCCAGTAAAGGTTGGTTAGAGAATTTTAAGAAAAGATTCTCGCTCCATAATGTGAAGCTGACGAGGGAGGCCACATAAGCTGACCACACAGCCACAGATGCATTTCTTGCCAAGCTCAAAAAAATAATAGAAGAGAAAGGCGATAGACCGGAGCAAATTGTTAATGCCGACGAATCTGTTCTATATTGGAAGAAAATGCCTGGTAAAAAGTACATAAACAAGCAGGAGAGGTGTGCCTCTGGGTTCAAGACAGCCAAGGACAGAGTGACACTCATCTTCTGTGGCAATGCGGCTGGCCACACGATCAAGCCTGGCTTGCTTTACCGCTCAGTAAACTCTTCCATGGAATGCAGCTTTAAGATAGTCCAAGGAATCAACCAGGTATTGTTTCCCTACCAGGAAATGTTTAAAGACCCCAAAGCCAAGAGGAAACAACTACTGTACCAATCACCATGTTTTTCAAGAAAGAACCAGCTACTTCCGTTGCCACTCCACCTTCTAATCCTCCCAGCCACCTCACCACCTGCCTCCCAGTCACGCACCACCACCACTGATTCACCCTTCCTCCACCAGTGATCCTCATGATCCACCTATATTTCAGTAACCAGATGTCTCCCTATGTACAGTGCACCACTTCATCAGGCTCCAGACTTCCACATACGAATGTAAGTACTGTACAGTATTGTGACTTAAGTTTCTCATGCACAGTACAGTAAACCCTCGAAGATCCGGGCAAAAAATCTAGGGGTTCTGGGCTAAGAAGCCTCCTAGAAGTTTCCCTAAGAAACATTCCCAAACCTGAGCAAAGAACAATTGTTGTTTGTAGGAATATTATTTCATTCACTCTTGTAATGATACAATGTTTCTTATTATGTTACCAAAGGTAAATGCATGGTTTATATACCTATGGTAATTTGTTTATCACTACATTAATACTATATTTTTTGTGTTTTTTATATAATTTATTATTCGGCGGAAAATTCGGACAATCGGCTTTTCCGGACAGGTGGTCCTCCCTTTTAGTCCGGATCTTCAAGGGTTCACTGTATAGATATACTTGTATATTAAATCACTAAGGTATTATATAAATGGCTATTCGTGGTTTTCCCAATCTGTGCCATTTCGTGGAACCCATTCCCCGCAAATGGCGAGGATCTACTGTACTGTACCGGTACTGTATAAATTGAATACTGTATCTATCTACTGTATTTATATATATACAGTTTACACGCTTGCACACCTCTAATGCACCTTTCACAAATTCTGACTCTGTGATAATTCGGACATTATTTACAATATTGAATTATTCAGCAATTTTTTAACACTGAGATCCTATAGGGATGTTTTGTCTGAATGCTCTTGTGCAGATGGGAGTCAAGCATGGTGAATAAATTTTTGTTTTACAGTAATATGTATTACCGGGTACTAATTTTTGCATGGAAAATTTAAATAACATTTTACTCTATGTAAATACCACAGATATAATGCAGTCAGCAAGGCTATTTAGGAAACATTTCAACACAGTTAACATATCCTTGAATTATACTGTGCAGAGATATCCCTATTAGCCAGAATAGCTGGTGCAGAGCTGTTTCTGGGTTGAGATTTCCAAGTTTGGAGACAAATTTTCTCATCCTCGGAATTTTTCCAGGCACCTGTAATGTACTGTACTGGGAAAAGTTTTCCAAGAGTCTAAACATATCAAGATTCTACTGTATCTTCCAAAGCTGAAAAAAGTAACTGTATTTTTCCTCCATAAATTGAAACATTGGACACAATTTTTTTTTCGTAACCTCCAATTTTCATAAATTAGATCTCCATTTGGAAAGAAATTTCTTGAGCATCTGATAATAAAACAGATATAGGATGTATTGGACTGAATTGTGTCAAAAAGAGGAAATAAAGAAGAAAGAAAGAGTAGAGACATAAGTAACCTCAAGAATGGGAAGTCTTTTTTCATAGCTTACTCACCTGTCCATGAATGTCCCCACATACAGTTACCGGACATGACACCGGTTGAATGTTTCCTTCTTCTAACAATAATTCACACACTGTCTCACATAATTTCTGCAAAAACATAAAGGACAGAGATAACTTCTTGACTGAAGACACACACACAATAAAAATAATTACCCTGTATTTGTCAAATTATTTTTGTTTGGCCCAATATGGGAGCAAGTAATTAATCAAATTTATTTAAAAATACCTGTACACTAAGAAACAGGAGACTACTGTACAGTACTGTATATCCAAACCTCTTAAGCTACTAAGCCATTACAAAAGTAATCATGACAACACGTGTCTATGTCAAAACCTACTGAATCATTTTACAGTACAGGTATAGTACAATATATTGTATACAAATAGAAAGCAAGATCATCAGCAGGATGGTTTAGTGCAAAAGCAAACACAAAAGAATTGAAAATGGATATTATTGCTAATCAACATCTGACATAGGTAAGTGACAATTTCTTAGCTACCTCTTCACTCACATCTAATTTAAACAGCCACCTTTTCTCCCAAGTATAGTACTGTACAATAACTAAGATAAATGTGCAAAACAGCAATCACCAAAACAGCGACGTTGATGGCAACTTTCTTCTATTGAGGTTTTTCATTAGGTATGATAGCTGGTTAACCCGGGCCACCGTCCTGTGATGTTAACATTCGAGTCATCTGCTCCTCCAACACAAACACACACAAAATATGGCATGAGCTTCTAATGTACAGTATGTTTAAATACTCCGTAATACTTTAAAATACAGTACACTGCTGACTCATGAGAAGGAGCAACTTAAGCTAAATGTTATATAAAAGAAAACTTCCTCATAACTCTAGAATACTGTATATCGTTACTTGAATATAGTTAAAATTTTTATGATAAAATTTTTAGGCAAAAAGCAGGGGATAAAACTAAAAAAGAGTAATATTTTTGAAGGGTTACAATTCGTGCACTTCTGTGGGACATTTACAGTGAATGATAAATACCCGGTCCAGTACAAGCTTGAGCTTAGGTAAGATTATACACAATGAAGCAGCATTGTGTAATGTCTTTCATGGACATAAGAGTAAGATCAGTTGTTCCACTGAAACAAATAAATGTTGTTCACTGTCAATTCTCGGCAACATTTAGAACACATGCGTGTTGTGCCAACTACCCTGTAGTCCATGTTGACAGATGAACTCTTAGAGCCAGTCTGCATCCTCCACAAGCACAGACAACTTGCAATACAATACCGAACACAATGCGATTGAAAAACGAGATGGCAAGCTTCTCCTTCCCCTTAGGAAAGAACAGTATACTATATAGAATAAGTTAAAAAAACAATAAGTGTGAAAAAAAAATGATTTGCAAAGGCCATGAACAAAAAGCCAGGGAAATTATGCCTATAAAATTTAAAACAAAAGACAAATAAGCCAATAATAAAACCCTCAATGTGAGGCTCCATTGTCATTTTTATGTTTACAAACATGGGATTCAAACATTAATAGTAGTTTAAGAGCGGACGGGAACAATTGGCATCGCGGGAGATTTGTTGGTGGATTATTTACAACGGTTTTTGTTGTGTTTTGAACAATTCTGACCTGCTTCTGTATAGGTGTATGACCAAAACGATAATTTTATCCATGATCTATCTTTCCATGTGTCCATCTTCACACTCTATAACCTGTATTTTCTTCGCATTTTGTCCTCGTACTAAATAAAAGGCACAGGATACAGAAATGGCAGCCATATGCAAAACGTCGATGTCAATTAGTAAGGCAGTTGCATATGCTTGATGGGTAGACTATACAATGAAAGTTACCAACATGGCCTTCTTTCTGACTAATATAACTTAATGGAAAATAACCTAACCTACCTTATAACCTAACCTAGCCTACCTTATAAAGTAACTTACCTAACCTATAACCTAACCAAACCATTAACAACACAGTTTGTCAATACAGCTGCTGTACCTGTATTCACTATATGTAAATAAAAATCAGACATAAGTGGGAACTTGCCTCTTCTATTAACTAAGGACTATTAGCTTAGAGTATAGTACATTTATAACACAAAAATAAGTTACCAATTAATATAAACCTGAATTTTATCCATTTATTTTGCTGGTTACAGTCCAACTCGGCCCACATCTAACTCGGACCATCTCGAACCACTTAGGTTAACGAACTCAGACTAAAAAGTAAAAGTTTACACATTTTTGCATGAATAATAAAAAGCAGCATAGATTGAAGGGGGGGGGGGTTTATTTGTTAATATTTATCTTTTCATTCCATCTTATTAATATATTGATGTACATATGTGGAAGAGGTGATCTTTTTTCTTTTGTATACTGTATATATAATTTAATATTTTATATTTAGTTCACAATTAAGATCACTTTACCTGGAGACCTGACAATGATATCCTCACAAAATATGACGGTTGAGGATGACCTGATCACGAGATCTGAGGTTGATGAGTTCCACAACAATTTAAATAATGAGTTACTTAATGCACAAAGGCAGAACATACCATACAGTAAATGCAGATCAGACAACAATGACCCAAAATGGATAAATAATTATTTTAATAATATTATTGGACAAAGGTTGGAGAATAAATTGTGAAGTTTACCAGTAGGATTAAGACCGAGATAAGAAAAGCAAAGAGGAATAATGAACTGAAGGTAGCAAGGAAGGTGAAGTTAAACTCCAAGGGATGCTTTCAAATGTATCAAACTTAAACACAAGAAAAGATTGGACCAATACAGTCAGATACCGGCGAGCTAACCGATAACGACGGAGAAATGAGCAATAATCTGAACAGGTATTTTTAACAGTTTTCACCACCGAAAATTTAAACATGATACCCGAGGCGCCGACTATATACAGAGATAGTGAAGAAAATAGATTAAGCGAGATAGTAGTGACTAGTAACGATGTTAATAAGCAAATAGACAAGCTAAAGCCAAATAAGTCGCCAGGTCCCGATGAGATATTTGCCATAGTATTAAGGGAATGTAAGGAAGAGCTTAGTATGCCCTTAGCAAAGCTGTTTAACATATCACTAAAAATGGGTGTAGTACCAGAATCCCGATCCAACGAATTACCCAAAAGTACCCAAATGGGGTCCGACTAATTACCCAAATGTAGCCGCAATGAAGTCAAATAATGGTCCTACATGAATAAATCGGACTGCCAATCACTTCTCGACTAGTATTTGGTGTCACAAAGTCAAAAAAAATTGGAAAACTTAATTTAATGAGTTAATAGATAACGTGCATGTACCGAGGGAGCAAGTAATTACCCAAATGTAGTCGCAATGAAGTCAAATTATGGTCCTACAAGAATAAATCGGACTGCCAATCACTTCTCGACTAGTATTTGGTGTCACGAAGTCACAAAAAATTGGTAAACTTAATTTAATCTGAGTTAATAGATCGAGTGCATGTACCTAACCTAACCAGGGCCGGATTCAGGAGTGGGCAAAGTGGGCAACTGCCCAGGGGCCTCCACATATTAAAATATTTTATTTATTTGTTTATTCATTTGGATTATTTTTATTTTCATTCTTTAAAATTCACGTTTATCTATTCCATCACGTAAAACTATGTTCAGGAAGAAGCGTGATAGAAATTAGGCTAGCTACTCCTTGAAATTCATGAATACCTGGTTTTCCTATGAGCCGTATATTTTTAATATTTTTAATATAACTGCAAACCGTATGGCTTCAAAATTCTCCGAGGAAGTGTTCAAATTTCAAAATTTTCCTGGGGGGCTTACAGCACCCCCCAGAACTCCCAGATGTTTAGGCTCGCTTCATTCGCCACCCCACCCTCTTGGGTACTTATAATGAGGGGGGCCTCCATAAAGAGGCTGCCCATGGGCCTCCACAGGTCTAAATCCGGCACTGAACCTAACCTAACCTCGACTAGTATTTGTTGCCACGAAGTCACAAAAAATTGGTAAACTTAATTTAATCTGAGTTAATAGATCAAGTGCATGTACCTAACCTAACCTAACACAACTCAGATTAAATTAAGTTTACTAATTTTTTGTGACTATGACACCAAATAATAATAGAGAAGTGATTCACAGCCCAATTTACGCTTGTAGGACCATCATTTGACTTCATTGCGACTACATTTGGGTAATTACTCACTCCCTCGGTACAAGCACGGAATCTATTAACTCAGTTTAAATCAAATCAAGTTTTCCAATTTTTTGTGACTTTGTGACACCAAATACTAGTCGAGAAGTGGTTGGCAGTCCGATTTATTCATGTAGGACCATCATTTGACTTCATTGTGGCTACATTTGGGTACATTTGGGTAATTAGTCGGACCGCCCAAATGTATATTAAATCAGGGTAAAATCTTAACATATATATGTTTTACATCAATAAAACCTGATTAATAATGTTTTCATTGAAATGTAGTCTAAATAATGAAATAATAAACAGCGAAAAACGCTAAATTCCAAAGAGTCACCTATCCAAAAGGAGATATAATTACCGATGTTTCTGTTACTTTGGGGTATTTAACATAGCCGTAAGATTTACTTTTCGTTAGGTTAGGTTAGCGAAGTGCATCACGATGGATCGGAGTTATCTCCATTGTTCACGAACTCTTTGGAATTTAGCGTTCGCCAATACTGAAAGTTTTTCGCTGTTTATTATTTCATCTTACAAATTATTTTTACAAAATTACACTAAAAATATTATTAAACATGTTTTGTGTATGTATAACAGATATTCGTTAAGATTTTACCCTTATTTGCTATACTTTTGGGTACATTTGGGTAATTCGTGGCTCCCCCAGAATCCTGGAGGATAGTGAATGTGATACAGATTTTCAAGAAGGGAGATAGATCACTATCCTCTAACTACCGTCCAATCAGTTAAACACCAATTGTAGGCAAATTGTTGGAAGCAATAATTTCAAACCCTATTCGAAATCACCTGGAGAAGCACAAATTACGAATGTGAATCATGGTTCATTGACCAAAGTTCTACTAACATAAACTCATTAAATTCGTCCTTCATACTGATTGGTATTCACTCATTCACACTCTTCATATTTCAGTGAACCAAAAGAGACATAAAATATATCTCAAACTCATTCCTGAACCTCTAGTCCGCTACTTGTTTGAAGTGTGCAAGGTGGGCCGAGTTATAGTAATGTTTGGGCCTAGTTGGTTAATTAAGATGGGAAGAGTTGCAGGTACACCACTTTGCCTCAACACAAGAATAATCATGAAAATAGGAAAAATTTACTACACGGGGTGCCATAGCTTTACTCTCATGACCTAATATCTAACTATTTCCTCTCTAATGAATAGAAACATATATTCATTGAGGAAGTTAAGAGGTGTAAGAGCGTCCTGCGTGATGGCTTGCTTGTTCTAGCGTCTTCAGGTTGTCCCGATGTAGTCTGGGTATTCTCTGGCTGACTCTACTGGCGTTCTCTTCACACTTTTCATTTATATTTTCTACCACTGTCATCTCTCATCATTTCTTTTGTTACTTTAAGTATATCATACAAGGGTAACTAACCTTAAGGTCACTTTCAGGCAAATACTTGCACTCTTTCGCAATTTCTATCCACTTGTCAACGTCCGCCATTTTTGTTTATGGGTAAAGGCTGTACGAGCCTATTTATATTTTCTTCCCTAACGACCAAATGACCTAAACCCGATTTTTGGAGATAAATTTCGTTTAAAAAAATTATACATCTATTCATATTAAAGAATTCCGAATAATATTAAGCTGTATATTCAAAGGATATATTCACAAATAAACTTTTCTAAACCTAACAAAATAACAAATGTTAAAAAAGATCTTGAACAGAATTTAGACTTTTTTTTATTAATAATCAAACAAACAAGAGAACGAGACAAACCTTTTTCATTTCACTGAGTCTTGAGTGAACAATGGCTCCAGTTTCGTGATAATGAAAGCGACTTTGTGGAGTGTGGTAATTCCTTGTGCCATGAAGAAGAGTGAAGGAAAAAGCATTGTGGCGCTAAATGTGGTTAATAAAGAGGCGCTCCATTGGAAGTTTTAAGCACTTATTAATGAACTTGCAAACTGAAAGTGAAGTAAATTTTCAAAATTATGTCAGGATGTCAGTAAAGAGCCTTTTCTCTCTTGTTGAAAAAGCAAACCCTCTAATAGAGAGAAAGGATACTAAATTCAGAGTATTTCAGCAGGGGCACGTCTCAAAGCTACTCTTCTGTGTTCAACAATTGCATTGCTCAGATGCAAGTTTTCAATATTCCACACGGATTTCTATAGCAAAGTCTGAGTGCAACTACAATCATTCCTGAGACATGCCAAGCTATCTACGAAGTACTGTAATCAAAGACAACAACATGAAGGTATAAACTACAGACGGGCAAAGGGAGACCTATTTGAGGTGTATAAGCATCTCAAAGGGCACTACTCAGTCGAGTGCCTTTCCTGGAGCTGGCGGAAGCTCATAAAACTGAGGGGTAACTTTCTTGGAGTGTGAGTTGTGAATTATTGGAACAATCTGCCAGAGAGAGTTGTGACGGCACCGAGGGTGAGCTTTTAAGACCAGACTTGACAAGCACTGGAGCAGGTTCAGATACATTCAGGAGCCAGTACATGCCCAGTACTTGCCAACAGTGCATAACAGAGACGTGACCGGTCGCCCAAGCGGCTAAGGAGCCGATCAGTTGTGAAGAGGATAAAAGTAAAAAATAAAAAGAATAGTTATACTTTTACTTTTTTACGTAGTAGGCAGCTATCAAACAGGGAGGTACTACTACCTGGGAAGATATATACCTAGATTTTACCAAGGCTTTCGACAGTGTACCCCACGAAAGGTTGAAAATCAAACTGGAAGAGTATGGAATTCGGGGAAATGTCCTAGCGTGGATAGAAGACTTTCTACATGACCGCAAGCAGTGTGTGGTGATTAATGGTACGAAATCATCATCTGTACCCGTCACAAGCGGGGTATCACAGGACAGTGTATTGGGCTAGTTGTCTAATTTCTCTTTATTAGGCTCACTTACATACGTACATATAGGAGATCTTGCACTAAGGATGGAGGTGAGAAAGGAAACTCAGAATAGCTTAACTCTACATGTAGTGTATGTACAATGCAGTGCTAGGGAGTTGCTGTGTGGTGAGGAGCTTGTTGAGAGGAGGTCCTGTCTGTTTCAGAGCGTTGAGTAGAATGACCTTCACGAATCGAATCGTAAATGTTAGTGACAGGGGGGAAGGAGGTTCAGGGGAAGAATAAAGGGAGGATTGAAGTGAATTTTAGGAGGAGAGAATAGATGCAGTGGCTAAACACCGCTTGCGTGAGGGAGTATAAGATGGAGGCAGCAGCAACTCGCCCGGACGCGGCCGGGAGGCGGCAAGACAGAGCCAGGCTAGCGTCAGGTCAAGCGTCAGGTGCGTGTTGGGTTGGGTCATGGATGTTCAGTGCTTGGTCGGCTTGATTGTGTGTGTTGGTTTCTTGTGTGGAGGAGATGTCTTGGTCTTCTTAGCTTGATGTCGATTTTCTTCTCACTCTCCTCCTCTTCTTGCTCTCTTGTAGTTTCCATTCGTTTGTGTTTGGGTCTTGTTGTTCGTCTTCCTCGTGTATTAAGTCCTCATAGGTGTGGAAGAAGTCAGAGACGGTGAGGTTGACCACGTGGGCTTCAGCTCCACGGGCCACGTGGTGTTCTTGGTTCTGTGTGGTGGGCGTCTTCTCTTGAGTTTTCTTTTCTTGGTTTTTCTTTTCTGCTGGTTTTTTCTTTTCTTGGGAGCGTACAGCAAGGAGGGCCTCTTTGTAGCTCAGTTTCTTCTCAAGACGAGCCTTGGCTACCCTGCATTCCTCCTTCCATTTGGGGCAGGTCCGATCGGCGGAGGAGTGTGGGCCACCACAAGCAGCGCATTTTTTTACTTTGTTGGGGCAGACCGTGTAGCGGTGTCCAGGGCTGCTACACATGGAGCAGGTGTCCTCCTGCGCCTCACACTTGTTTACAGTGTGTCCATAGTGCTGGCATTTGTAACACCGTTTCGGTCTGCAGTAGGGCTTGACTGGCACAGTTACCCACGCCAGTTGAGCTTCCTTGGGTAAGGTGGAGTGGTGTCCGATGAGGGCAGTGGTGTCGGACAGCTTCTTCACAACTTGAAGTTGCCCCTTGAGGAGCTCACTCAGCTCTGCTTGGTCCATGTGGGCAATTTCGGCGTGGGAGATTACTCCCAGCTTCAGGTTGTCCCACATGTAGGCAATCATTTTAAATGGAATGCCGTTGATGTCTGGGATCTCCGCGAGCTGTACGGGCATGCCCTTCTCGGCGAAGGTGATCTTGATGTCACCATGGAGCTTTAGACGTTCCACCTTGGTGACCCCCACGATCCCATTAGTTTCAAAGAACTTCTGGAGAACTAGGAGGTTTAGTTTCTTGGGGCAGGTCGGCGTATCCGGACGTATCCGCGCCACGTTATCAAACTCGTAACCGTTCATGGTGAGAGACTGACTGACGACCTTCACGGCGAGGCTGGGGGTATTTATATGCTTCTGCCGGATCAGGTCGAGAGATCTGAAGTGAGCGGCGTTGCTGATTTGCTGAAGTGAAGGCGGTATCTGGCCAATCACCAAGCAGTCTGAAAGCGAAGCCCAGTCTGTGGAACTCGCCGCTGGTTGGTTGGTAAGCGGACAGCAAGTGACCAATCAGCAGTTGTAGGGGAGAGTATCCACTACAATACTCCCCCTCCCTTCCGAGCGCTGCAGGAAATTTGTTGTCGGCAGGGTTGTATCCCACATGTGAGACATAACGGGTGGGGGTGTGAACCACTCGGCCGCTATGGGTGATGACTCCATCTAGTGAAACGAAATCTGTGGGAGAAGAAAAGGTAGAAGGAGGGTTGTAGATAAGAAAAAGTTGAACGGTGGGAGGAACAGGCAAGGAATGTAGTGCTTCTCTCGCGGCAGGTGCAAATTCCTCTGGGGTGCCGGGTAGGGTGTCTGGGTCCATAGGGCCGGATGCAGGATCCTCATCAGGAGCAGGAAGTACATGAGGGCGAAAAAAGGGTGCTGTAGGCAACAATGGTGACCAGACAGGTGAAGGGGGCACAGGCGTGGTTTGCTGGGGGGGGAATGTGGTGTTTTTTTGACTGCAGGTGCACAGTCCTTTGGGGCGCTGGGTGGGATGTCTGGGTCCACAGAGCTAGGTGCATGATCCTCATTAGGAGCAGTAGGTACCTGAGAATGAAAGGAGGGCACATAGAACTGTTGTGGACAAGGTGGTGCTGCAAGTGGCAGCTGTGAGCAGACTGGTGCAGGCGTGGCTTGTTGGGGGTAATGCTGGGCTGGGGCCCATCAGGTAAGGTGGCCGGCTTCACTCGATCGATGCTGACGGTGTCGTGTCTGCCATTGTGAATGATCGTCAGGGACTTCGCTGACCATGCAAAAACCGAGAAGCGTTCATCGTAGGGGCGTTGAAGTGGGTTGTGGTGAGCATCTGTAACAACTTCTGCACTCACTCTTTTCCTCCTCTCTTCTGTCCTGATAACTCTATAGTCAACTCTCCCCCTGATAAAGCCAATCTCTTTGGCACCCTATTCTCCTCTAACTCCACCTTAGACGATTCCAACTCTATCCCTCGTACGCCTACTCCTCCTACTGAACCTATGCACTTTCCTATAATCCCCATTCATAGGGTTGCTGGTGTGTTACCCAGGTTGGATGTAAGGCGCATGTACTGAACGGAATGCCGCCGCATGTTCTGAAGTTCTGGCCCCTGTGATTGCTTGCCGCTTTCGCCTTTGCCTGAAAACCCAAACTTTTCTTTCGTCTTGGAAGCATGCCTTGGTTCAGCCCATCCCAAAGAAGGGTGACCATTCCAATCCCTCTAACTATTGCCCCATTGCCCTAACTTCATTCCTCTCTAAGATTTTCGAAACTATCTTAAACTCTCATTTTCTCCGTCTCCTTGAATGCCATTCGCTTTTGTCGGATCACCAGTATGGATTTCGCCAGGCAAGATCTACTGGAGATCTGCTCTCCTACTGCACCCATCTTTGGTCATCCTCTCTTAGGGATTAAGGGGAAACTTTCGTCGTGGCCCTCGACATCTCCAAGGCATTTGACAGGGTATGGTACAAGTCTTTGCTTTCTAGACTTCCCTCTTATGGTTTCTCTCCCCCACTTTGTTCTCTAATTTCTAGCTTCCTTGAGAACCGATCCATGGCAGTTGTTTTCGAGAGATCGATCTATCGCTGTTCTCTACCAATAGTGGTGTCCCACAGGGTTCTGTTCTTTCACCTACTCTCTTCCTTTTTTTTATCAATGATTTTCTTCACACTACAACTAATTCTATCCATTCTTACGCTGATGATTCTACTCTTCACTCTTCTTCACATTTTCCCCTTCCTCCTAATTCTCAAACTAGATCTGTTTCTAGAGCTGATATCATTAAACCTATCAATGCGGATCTGTGCAGCATCTCCAAATGGGGAGGTAGAAACTTGGTTAAATTCAATAGCAATAAAACTCAGTATTTACTAATTACACTTTCCAAATTAGATGATCTTCCACCAATCACATTTCAGGACGCTATCATTCTGCCAAATTCTACAATATATATGCTAGGTCTCACCATTTCCTCTAATGTCATGGAAGCCACACATCCACAACATAGCTAAAGCTGCCTCATGAAAGCTGGGAAAGCTGTACAGATGCGTAGCTACTTCACTCCTGAACAGTTGCTCCATGTACTGTATATAAGGGATTCATTCGTCCTAACATGGAGTAGTAGGAGTACTGCTGTCATATCTGGGGTGGCTCTTCTGCCCAACTGTTAGATAGGGTGGAATCAAAGGCATTTCATCTTATTAACTCTCCTCCTTTGGTTGACAATTATTCTTTCCTTTCTCTTCGCCACAATGTTGCTTCACACTTTCTCTTATACAGGCACTTTAACGGGCAATGTTCGGTGGATTTGGCATCCTGTGTACCGCCGACAAGGCCGTGGACTTGTAACACTCGCCTTGCCCGCGGTGCCCACCGTCTCTTTGTGGGTGTCGGTCACACTAGAATAACCCGTTATAGTACATCCTTCTTTCCTCACGTAGCCAAACTGTGGAATGCTCTGCCTTCTGTGTTTCCATGCTCATACAATCTGTCTCACTTCAAAAAGCTGTTTTTCCGGAATCTTCGCGGTGTAGATTAATATAATCTTTTTCTTTTTTTTTACTCTTATTTTTTCGCCCCCTAGGCCTCATTGCGGGTCGATGACCTGTGCCCCGGTGGGCTATTCCCTGTTAAAAAAAAGAGAGAAAACTATACAAAAAATGCCTGAGAACAATACTGCATTAAAGAAAGAGTACTGGAGTTTTTTGATGAAAAGGGGGGTCTGAACCCCCAGGACCCCCCTTCTGGAACCACCCCTGAAACCTGTAGCCTTTGAAATGAGTCATTAATAGCTGCTATCGGTTGTGGCATCCGGCAGAGCATCCTGATTGCGTGGTGATCAAACACCAGAAAAACTGTCAATGATAGGGCATGAATATTGATGTGTGTGGCTGTCTGACAGTCATGCTGAACGGCATGTGAACTAGTGTGTACTAGACTTTATGCAGTGTAGGCAAGCACAGTACTGTACTGTTTCCAGTATGCATCTGTACCTGCACCAGTGTTGGTCAAGTTTGGTCTTGAATGAACTCACACTCAATGCTGTTACAATGCTCTGGCATATTGTTAGAAGACTTCACAACCCTCACTCAGAAAAAGTTTGCCCTGACAATTTTTTAACTTGTGTCTTCTTCAACCTTAAGTCGTGACCTCTAGTGGAGCAGGCATCTGCCAGCTCCAGGTATGGACACTCGACTGAATAATAGTGTCATCATAAGGCGTTATCTCGACCCTTGGTGTATGTTTGAGTAGTGATATAATCCTCAAATATTATCTAAATGCACCTAGTTTATCAGCATATAAATTGGGGCATAACCACCTCCGTGGTGTAAGGAGGTAAAGAACCAGCATACCGTAACACCTGGGGCATAACCTTTTTCTATAATTAATTAATTACACCCAAAAGGCAGCAGACTCACCAGAAGACATGTGGCCTAACACAACACAATAATTATTAATTAGTCTGCAAACATATTTTTCACAAATGGCAGTAAACTTGAGGGCAGAGCTTAAGTGAACAACAAAAGAACAAGTACGGTAATGGTGGCATATTGTGATCAATGACTACAGCCCTGTGGTATGAGGTCCATAACAGTGAGAGAATGTAGACAATAATGCTTAATAATATTACATTAGGGACTGTCACAAAGTTTGCAGGAAGAGAAGTGCAGAGCATCCACTGCCTCAGAGACTTACCAGATAGGACAGTATCCCAGCCTGATGGTAATGTGTGTAACTTTCATCAATACTGTATGTCATGGGTTCGAGCCTTGGCCTGGACACACGTGAGAAGGGTGTTATCCAATGTGACCCTACCAATCATCACAGATTTCCTGATCTCCGGTTTCCTCCCGTGATTAACGTTGGATAGACCAACCACCTGAATGGCTAATAAGCTGATAAGTGGCAAAAATAATAAAAAACAAAACAAAAAATAATATAAATATTAAGCCTGCGAACCTTAAGTCCACGTTGACAATATAGTACTTACATTGGAAGGGAAGAAACTGATCATTGTGTCCATGAGTTTGACTACCAGGCCTTTTCTTATCCAATGTACCCCACCCAAACCTGTGGCTTGCCAATGAATATTTGAGTGATTACATTGGCCTGTGTAACTTATTAAATTTAGGACATCATACTGAAAAAATTCATCCATCAGAAATGATGGAACAGATGATTGGAAACGTATCACAAGTGGAATTTTAAGGTGCTCACTGTCAGGTGTTCGAAAGTAATATTCAGAACTGGAACCAAATTCACACGCTAAAATTGTAGGTTGGGATAGGTAGAGATATATTTGGTAGCTCCCACAGTAAATTTATATTTTGAATTAAAACAAATATGCAGTTCAATCTATATAAAAAATAAATAAATAAATTAGGCAATGTTCTCATTCTACAATTCTAATTATAGTACAGTACATTTATGTGTTGTTAATATGGGTGAGGCAAGTGCTCTAACCCGATGACACTGGACCACAAAATAGCAAGAAACATTAAAGAGGCTGATAAGTACAGCACCTAAATCATAGCAATGTACATCACTGTATGTGAAATTATGCACATATATGTATTTGTTTTGAGTTTGTATTATGAGAAGTAGTTATTTTGGGATAGTATACAGTACAGCTATTCCATTAATATTATTTATGAGCATAGTTGTAAGCAAATTATTGGGCAAGTTATAAAGAACAACGGTTTTTCATTTAAATGTTTATTAAAACTGTACATTACTGTACTGGATACAGTATAGTATATAATTAAACTACACTAATGGTAGAGACAAATTATCACTAAAAATATTGAGACCGTAAATATGTGTAGTGCAGTTGCAAATTATTTATAAGTAAACTTTTGTATCTATAATAAAGTTTTCATATTAAATGGTATATAATCTAAGTAAATGAATCACACGAATTAGAAATTAAAAGACTAGCTTGTTCTCGATAAATTTAATAACATTCATCATATCAATGAATAAAGTTTCAGTTCCTGTACAAATAAAAAACCTTAGCGCTAAAACGTGGATCCCCAATCTCAATTTAAATGATATACAGTCCTGTACACCAGAATTCTGAATATTAGCAAAAATTAGAACAGTACTGATACAACATTAGCAGTAAAAAACACCACCCAAATCTGGTTAGTTCAGTATGAGATATCCACCAAGGATATGATTATGTACAGTACTGTACATTAATAAATTGTTCTGTGAATACAGGTATACTGTAAAACTGTCATTACAGTATATCTTTATTTTAATAAATTTAATTTAAAATTAATATAAAACTATAAGTGGTTAGAACTTGAGACATAATTAATCTCCCAGGCAAGTTCCTTAAAATAAAAGCCCTTCAATAGTAAATACATTTGTAAACAGAAATTTCTTTTTCTTTGGAAAATCACTGCAAATGATTATACAGTACAGTACTGTACTGTACTTCCCCTCAAGTTCAGTTGCTCATAACTCAATGTACAGATGCAAATACAGTACAGGTTGACAATCCCTTATCCGAAATCCTTGGGACCAGATGCACTTCGGTTTTTGTAATTTTTCGGTTTTCACAATGGTTATTTTTTTTTATTATTTTTTTTAACAGGGCTCAGCCCACCCGGGCACAGTCACTGACCCACATTGGGGCCTGGGGGCTAAAATATAATAATAAAAATAATTATAATAATAATAATAATACGTAATAATAATAATAATAATAATTCATAGGTCTGGGTCGTGTTTCTCACTTTTGATTTTTTTTCATTCTTGTATTTCTTTATTATTATTATTATTATTATTATTATTATTATTATTATTATTATTATACAGTGGGGTATGCTATAACGAACGGATTCTACTACGAATATTCCTATAACGAACGGTTTTACCTATAAAATTGAGACTGCTATAACGGAGGCAACTCCTACAAAGAACGCGGATGAATACGGGACTATTTCGTCTGGCGCATGAATATTGTTGTACCGCGACCCACAACAAGAGCGTCAGGCGCCATATTGGTTCATTGTGTACCGGTAGTCAGTGCACCACTGAACTTGTTGAAATTTCGTCTTTTGATGTGGAAATTCGTGTTATTTTTATAACTATTTTGTTATACAAGTGTACAATTACAACAATGAATCGTCAAAAGCGAGTGAGAAAGCTAATAACCCTAGAAAGTAAGAAAGAAATTATAAATAAACAGACAAAGTGCCTGTAAGACAGTCACCAAAGAGGGCTAGGAAGGATGACTCCTCTCTTCCACCTCTTCTCCATAATTCTCTCCTCCCCCCTCCTCCTCTGCCTCCTGTCCTGCATACTAACAACACTAAGGTAAGATAATGTACCGTATTTTTTACAATTTCCACAGAAATTTTTCATTGTTAAGTGGTTGTATTTGGGGGCCTGGAACGGATTAATCCTATAACGAACGAGGTTCTAGAACCAATTAGATTCGTTATAGCATACGCCACTGTATTATTATTACAGTATTATTGTTATTATTATTATTATCATTCTTATTTTATTTTTTTGTATTTTTTATCAAAATTTTTATTTACTATGAATAATTATTATTATTACTGTATTATCGTTATTATTATAATTATTATTACCATTACATTTTCACCCTCCAGGCCCCGATGTGGGTCGGTGACCTGTGCCCGGGTGGGCTAAAAAAAAAAAAAAAAAAAATTGCTCCACAAAAAAAAAAACTTTCGGTTTTCAGAGCTTTTTGGTTTTTGGAATTTCGGATAAAGGGTTATCAACCTGTATTGTTACCAATACCTCAACAATAGTCTATAATGCAATATGCCAATACAGTATAGCATATTTGACTACTACTGAACCTTCTTAATTTATGAGGATGACAATGTGGATATTCATTCTGGTCCCTTAAGTGTTTTCACTGCTCCTAACCCAATCAAGTGTGGAAAATGGCGATAAAACTGTGGTGGTGGTGATGGTGATGATACAATATTCAAATAAATTGCAACACGAGTCAACAACCCCCTAACTTTATACACAATTTTTATTAATCTCTTACTTCTAACTGTCTCAATACAAAGCAATCCCTGACTCTCTCTGCCCAAAGCTGCATTTATAACTTACTTCTGTATTTCTTAGTACCTGAATGTCATTTCCCCACAATTTACACCCGACACTCAAACACACAAAATGTTTTTTTCAGTTTCTAATTAAGTTAATTTGGTAGACCTGTACAATATATCCAGATTTTCATGTTTTTCTGATACAGTCATCCCTAGGGTCCTGTAGCAGTAAAGAAGGAAACCAGAGTACCTAGAGATATATATCATAACCTTCTGACTCGAGTGGGAACAGAACCCGGATGCCATGTGAGGGACAAGCATGATGTTGCTCTTCTGACAAAGGTCATCATTATATTTTTGAGCCTTTGCAAGACACTCAAAAGAGTTTATTCATGGTCTGCATTTCTAATGCTCTCCATTAGATTAAGAATAAATGCCTTGTTATTAACCGAGTATCGAGAAAGAAATCTGTCTTCCATGTATATTAATTCTGTGTATGTCAAATCTAGCCTCTTACCCTTGTTCCTCTCCCATTCAACTGCAACCATGTCCACTAGGCTCTCTAGCAGGAAAACTTTTGCCATATCTTCTGAAACCAGGTCAAGAGATGTAATTTCTACTCCATATTTTGAGCCACCTGCCTTAACACACAACCAAGATTCCAAGCATGATTGTTTAGTTTCAGCAGAGTGCTTCTTTGACCACATCTGAGGATGGTGAGGTTCAAAATTAAGATGCCGATCACAAGATTTGCGCCAAACTGAGTAATTTATATCATGAACCCATTTCAAGGTATAACCTAAACTCTGTGATAAACTGAACTTTGTAAGGTCATGACGTTCTATCACCTCTTCTGACAATTCTGGCATAAAGCGAGCTAGTCGCAAATAACTCTGTTTTATCCAGTGACGGTGAGCCTGTACATGTGAAAAATGATCTCGTATTTTGAAATCTACCCAGAGTAACTGAAGTAATGCTTTATCATTTATTGCTTTATCTGATAATGCATGTGTGGTTACATTTCCCTTTTCTTCAACTTTATTATCAAAAATCAAGATCCATTTTAAATGACTGTCAGTGATAAATTTTTCTTCAATAGCTTTCTTAAGGATGATATCCTGAGCATACTTCCTGAAATTACTTTCCCAATATTCTGTTACAACTTTACTAATCATAATAAAAAAAGCAGTATCATGCGCTTTATTTTTAATTTCCTCAGTCATTATATCAATAACATTAACAGTTTCTTCGTATTTATTTTTCCTTTCTTTCTGGGTATTCTTAAACACCCTTTTCTCTTCAGACTTTTTCTGTAAGTCTGCCTGGCACACAAAGAATGCACGTTTGTGTTGAGGTATGGTGGTAAGGAGCATTTTCTCTCTCTCTGTTAATACAATGGACTTCCAACTATCATCAGCAGCAATAACCTTTTCCATCAGGTCTTTTATTATCTGGGCTTGTTTCTTGGAATATCGCTGAAGGAATTTGTCTTCAATATAAACGAGTTCTCTTGTAGTTATATCTAGTTCTTTTCCTTTCTTTCTTTCCCATTCCACTCCAATCATATCAATGAAACTTTCAAGCAAGAATGGTTCTGGCATGTCCACAGAATTCAGATCCAGGTTGGTTATATCAAGTCCATATGGACACCCACTGTGAAAATCACACACACCTTCAAGCCAGTGTTCCAGTTTCTTCTTCTTTTCCTCAGGTGCATACACTTTACTCCATGTTTGGGGGTGATGTGGCTCATTGTTTAAGTGTAGGTCACAAGCAGTCTTCCAAATATCATGGTATATGTTGTGAACCCATTTTAAGGTGTAACCTATTGCCTGACTGAAAGGAAATTTACTAAGGTCATGACGTTCAATAATTTCAGCTGGGAGATTTGGTAAAAAATCTTTTAGACGATCGTAGCTTCTTTGGATCCACATTCGATGACTATTCACCTGATTATAATGCTCCTCTATGTTGAATATGTTCCATATTAATTCAATTATAGCATCATCTTGATCGGATATAAGCCATCCACTATCACTGCTCTCGTCATTTTCAGGCTTTTCAAGCACATGAACCCATTTCAAATGATCCTCTTTCAGATATTGTTCTTGAACTGCCTTCTGCAAGATCAATTTTTCAGCATGTCGACGCATGTTTGGAGACCAAAATTCCATTATCAATTTTGCTAAAGCAATTGGAAGAGCTGCCTCTTCTGCCTTTGTCTTTCTCTGTGTTATAGCTTCTTGGCTTTCAACAATCTGTGCTGACTCATCAAATGTGCCACTGCTGTGTCTTCGAAATTTAGAGCTACGACTTTTCAGTCGTGTTTCTTCCAATGTTTTTGATCTTTCAATGAGCTTGGATCCCTCATCCTTTAAATTATCTGGTACTGTACACAAGATTAAGTCTGTAATGCGGGATTCCATGTTATAAAATTTTATACTTTTAATTCAGAGGCTGAAAATAAAAATTATCTTAAACGAAAAAGAAGTTAAAAGAATAAGGTTTACTTGTGTTATCAAATCTAGAGATCAGTCAATCAGTGGAAACAGAAACCTTAGTTCTAAGAATGTTGCAAAAGGAAAGATCCTTGGCACTCAGGATCCTCAAAATCCTATGACACTGAGGTGAGGATAATCCTTGGCACTCAGGATCCTCAAAATCCTATGAAACTGTGGTGAAGATAATCCTGGACTCTCAAGATCCTCTATATCCTATGAAACTGATGAGGATGATCCTTGGCACTCAGGAACCTCAAAATCCTACGAAACTGTGGTGAGGATGATCCTCGACTCTCAGGATCCTCTATATCCTATGAAAGTGTCGAAGATGGTCCATGGCTGAAATAAGACAAACTATTAGATTGTGCAATATTGTACTAAACATCCAAAATTCAACTAAACTTAGGAAAATTGTTCATAAAAGTATATGTGCTTACTCCAAAGAAACATCATATGTTATTAAACAGTATTTCTTGACGAGTTAATGGGGCTGGAACATGTAAGTCTACATATAGGGTTTTTAGTAGCGAAACCCAACCGTTTCATTTATTTATTACGAAAATATTACTGTATACAGTTCCAAGTGTACAGTATATCACTGTCACTTAATCACTGAATCTATGAGTGTTAAGTGAGGACGGAGGCTATGTTAAATAGCTCTTCTAAAATACGTCCTGTGTGGTGTGAGGGGTTGTGTAAGAATGCCTGTAATACCCGTCGAGGGAGAACGGTGATATATCCGACGTCCTCCCTCGAGGGAAGACGGAACCATCCACGATGGCTCTCAATAACGTTTTCCTCTAGTCAAGGATATCAAACTACTAGACGCATTAGGTGGCCAGAGAGCAGGGTACTTAATGCCTTAGCTCAGCACTAGTGACGCAACTTCCCGTGGGTACACCTTAACACGTGCTCTGAACATGCTACCTCATAGCTAGCGGAAAGTTAGAGAGGGTGATAGAGCATACAGGTCTAATATAATTAATTCATTTATATAAATACTTCTGCCTATAAGACAGGGGCTATTACAATTATTTTACAGTATTTCTGTATAAGCTCCTACTTAATCATAAAAATACTGTACCTTTAAATTGAAAAGAAAAAAAAATATTTGATGAAGTTTGTAAATCACAAAACATTTTCATGGTGCACTGGGATAGATTTTTTTTTTAAACAATTTGTACTCTCCATCACAAAAATCTAGGAAATTCACTTAACAGAAAAATAGTCAACTTGCCATCTAAACTCACTGTGCATTCATGAGATTAAGTAAATGATATAAAGAAAAAAATAATTCGGCAGTGACACTATTATTAGATAAATTGACAGGAACATTATCCATCATCATGTGATTTGGTTATTGCTTAAATGTATCTGTTTATGTAATGGGGAGCAGGAAAACACATTCTGTACAGTGTGAATTTGTGGGGGGAGACAGGAGAAGAGAAGAAAGGGGAGAAAAAAAAAAAAAAAATCATTACCTACAGGGGTATATGCCAAGGTCAATTCCACATCTACAATACTGTACAAAAATCCTGGATTATTTGAGCATTTCATATTTGCGCCTTCGACAATTCTGGGAGGGGATAAAATATTAAATATTAACCTGTACACTCGGTAAAAAACTACCGTACAGGTGGGGTCTGATGATTTTTCCAACTGAACATTCCTGTTGTCTCACTAGGGTTTTTAGGCCTGAATGTGAGACAATTTGTATTTTTTTTATTATTTTTTTATAGGGATTAGCCCATCCGGGAACAGATCACTGACCCATATCGGGGCCTGGGGGGGGGCGAAAACGTAATAATAATTACAATAATAATAATAATACAGGGTAATTAGTTCAAAGTAATTAAAAATTTTAATAAATGCAAAATTAAAAAATAAATAATAATAACAATAATAATAATGACACTAATAATAAAAATACTAAAGAACCACAAAGATATACAAAAATGAAAAAAAAGATCAATAGTGAGAAACAATATACAGTGGGGTATGCTATAATGAAAGGATCCTACTACGAATATTCCTATAACGAATGGTTTTACCTATAAAATTGAGACTGCTATAACGGACGCAACTCCTACAACGAACATTATTTAATTTTTTTTTCTAATTTATTGTTTTTTTATTACAAATATTAATGATATTCTTTATTTCAGGGGTTTAGATGCATATTTATGCACTTTTTTACAATTTTTACAATTTTATATTATATTTTTCAGTGTTAAGTGGTTGTATTTGGGGGCCTGGAACGGATTAATCCTATAACGAACAAGGTTCTAGAACCAATTAGATTCGTTATAGCATACCCCACTGTACAGTATGTACGTACAGTATGTTGTGTTGTCAAAGAAAGAGAAACAATTGAGAAACAATTGTCCACCATTAGACAACACATTATGCTTCCAATATCTTCCCAGGCGGTAGTACCTCCGTTTGGTAGCTGCCTACTACCTACTAAATTTGGTAGGCCGAAATTAGCTATTTCATTGACAATACTGAATTACTTTGTTACAATATAACTGGAGAATGTCAGTATATCTAGATAAGTTAAACTGTATGTGATATTAAATGTTCCACACACCGTGGGCTACAGTAACCATGGAAGTGGATGAGTTGTCATAGAGGAATGCATTATATGTTTGGCAGAATTAGTGGATATAGTAAAGGTATAAGATTATGTTGCAACCGAATTTTGAATCTGTATTTGTATTGCTACTTCACTTTGTGCTAATGCCACATATGTCATTCTTTATTTGTATTGGAAAATAAACCAAGCTGTTCCGAAACATCTGAATAGCTCCACAGTTTCGCATACCGTCATAATGGAACCCGGCCTAATGACGTTTTACCATATGGTCGATAATTCCGGTGTCATAAAGTCACAAAAAATTGGTAAACTTAATTTAATATGAGTTGTGTTACGTTAGGTTAGGTACATGCACTTGATCTATTAACTCAGATTAAATTAAGTTTACCAATTTTTTGTGACTTCGTGGCACCAAATACTAGTCGAGAAGTGATTCACAGCCCGATTTACGCTTGTAGGACCATCATTTGACTTCATTGCGGCTACATTTGGGTAATTCCTCGCTCCCTCGGTACAAGCACGCGATCTTTTAACTCAGTTTAAATTAAGTATTCCAATTTTTTGTGACTTTGTGACACCAAATACTAGTCAAGAAGTGGTTGGCAGTCCAATTTATTCATGTAGGACCATCATTTGACTTCATTGCGGCTACATTTGGGAACATTTGGGTAATTAGTCGGACCCCCCCAACGGGATTATCATTTGTCAACACTAACCAAACCTAACCTAAACTAAACTAAACAGTGTTTTATTTTATATATGAGACTGGGGTTTTGTCCGTTGGGGCTTTATCTGATCACCAAACTAACCTACCCAGAGAAACTATAAGGACCTGACCTGACCTAACCTAACCTCCTATCCGGCTCCCAATTTTGTTTATTAAAATGCTCTTAATACACCAATTAAATTTCTTGCAATAACTTACCGTAAAAATAAGCTGTTGGGACATATCAGAGAGAAAGTGAGATATGAAGTAGGATGGCAATATTTACGTAATGGCATCATTAGCCTATTTCTATTTACTGCTGAAGTAGAATTTGAATACGTCATCAATTATGACCACACACTTCTACCAATCCAAAAATATGAATGAAATGAAATGTAACTTACGTATGTAAGAAAACTGAGAAGGATAAATCAGTAACACAATAATGCGACACCCAACACCTACACCACCACAACACTGACACTCACCGACTACTGACTGTGATGGAGACGCCTCTCTCACTTAACACACTGCAGTCAACACTGATATTACTTGTGAAGGCCACTGCTCTTACAGTGCCTCCTTGAACTTTCAAAACGTTTTGAGCATATCACTTTATCAGGTGCTGTGTGACTCATATTTCCAAATTCCCAAGTTATTTGGGTAATTAAATGATGTTGCATTTGTTATTCTGTTTCTTCATATTTATTATTATTATTATTATTATTAACTCATTTTGTTCATGGCATGGCATGTGACAGTATATATTGGAAAAAAATATTAGAATTCACAACAAGGCATTGAGCTAGAATTACGGGTTTTACCAGCGGATATGAGGACACTTCCGTTTTCCTAGTATTACACGGTACGTATTACTCGTTATCAGTACAATTATATAACTCGGTACTATAACGTAACGATGGTACCTCAATGCGAAGACACATAGACTAATTCTCAAAACGCCTTTGAACATTTCAAACTTTACATACGTTCTCGTTTGTCAGAGTGGGTTGACTCGTCGAACCTGGCCGTGGCATCATCTTAGTCAAGGTGGTCGTCTAATACGTATACTGTACCAGTACTGGCCAGCTCAATACTTTTAGGTGCGCTTCCGACAATTCGTTTCCTACTGCAGGTCACCTTCATGTCTGCTGTCATGGTCACAATAGCATGGCTAGTCTGTTCAACACTTAATTATTCATATTATGCTCAACCGCCCCAAAACATGTGTGACACTGTTGAGTCTACCAGTTGAGACGTCCGATTTCTCCCCACCGCAGAATTAATGACCTACAGTGGTTTGTTAAAGTTTTTAACATTGATGTAATTGGTTTGCAAGAACCTTACACGTCCAGCACCCAGAAGAAAGTTGCATCCAGGATAGCTGGGTTTACAGCATACAATAGTGGAGCAGGAAGTGGCCTGCTCACTTATGTAAAGAATGGTCTGGTCTGTAAATGGATTAAAACTCACAATGATGAAAGTATTCACAATCAACAATTTACAGTAAAGACAGCAAACAGTCAATTTTCGCTGTATAACATCTACTGTATGTTCGGTGTAATGAGCTGCGAGCGGGCGTGTTACCAAGCCATCAGGTAACAATGCTATGTTGTGTATGGGTGACTTTAACTCTCGTCACACTGTCCTCGGTGATGTCCAGTGTAACTCTAATGGGAGGGTGTTCGTGAATTACACCAATAATCATAATATCACTGTATACGACACAGACAAAGTTACACATCTGATGGGGGGCAGACTTGACTATGTGATTGGGTATAACCTAGTAGACAGTAATGTCAAGGCTAAGGTCATCTCAGATCACCTAGTCAGTGATCATTATGCAATACTTATTGAATACACTGTTGCTGATGTCAAGTGTGAACCCCATCCTAAGCTCAGAATTAACATCCCAGATAATCTTCAAAGCCTACATCCACAGATGGTATGCTGGATATACACCTGGGTCAGTGGATGAATTTTGCTGTGATCTTGTAAATGTCATTACCACATATTATACCACCTGGGTTAAGTCAAGAAGGAAGGGGGGCAGCACTAAACCACCTCTGTGGACACATGACCCCATCCTCACCAATACCCTGAAACAATGTCTAGTGTTTGTGCAAATGATAACGTAGCGGTTACTTTATACTTTGGGTTACTGGTGCTACTACTGTACTTTGGGTTACTGGTGCTACTACTGTACTTTGGGTTACTGGTGCTACTACTGTACTTTGGGTTACCGGTGCTACTACTGTACTTTGGGTTACCGGTGCTACTACTGTACTTTGGGTTACCGGTGCTACTACTGTACTTTGGGTTACTGGTGCTACTACTGTACTTTGGGTTACCGGTGCTGCTACTAATACTTTGGGTTACTGGTGCTACTACTGTACTTTGGGTTACTGGTGCTACTACTGTACTTTGGGTTACCGGTGCTACTACTGTACTTTGGGTTACCGGTGCTACTACTGTACTTTGGGTTACTGGTGCTACTACTGTACTTTGGGTTACTGGTGCTACTACTGTACTTTGGGTTACTGGTGCTAGGAGGAATCATACACTGCATAATTTCTTAATTTAATAAAATTAGGGAATTTATTTAGCAAGACAAGTAAAAAAATAAATGAAATACAAACAACCACAGCCTAAATTAATCTCAACTCTAACCTCAGCATTACCATACACTTGAACAGCATAACAGAATAAACCTCTTATCTCCACATACATATATCCTGAGGCCAGATCAACTGTACCACCCTTGGACCACACTCTCACCATTCACTGGCTGAGCTGGTGGACCAGTGACCCACGCATTGTGGATACCATGTCGCCAATTATCACACGGGACTGAATTAGGCTACCCGCAATGAATTCACTAATGCACATACACACACACACACACACACTGACTGACTCGCATTGCTTTTATCCTCTGTTAACAGTATACTGTCCACATTCACTTCACTTTCCCGCTCATCGATTTCTCACGTTTCATCAGGTGAATATCTTCCCTACGAACACTTTACTTCCTCGTACTATTTTGTTATGTGGCACCAAATTTATATTGAATTTTAGAAGTAATTACCTTACCTGTTCAGAGGTGATTACCTTTCTTGTTCAGTAGGTAGGGCTATATTTTACAGACTTTGTTCCTGTGTATAATAATTATTTAATATGTTAAATTGGTGAATTCATTGCGGGTAGCCTAATTCAGTCCCGTGGCAGTGAGTGAGTGAGTGAATCAGTCAGTTCTCGTTAAGTTAGCATTAGTAAGTCTGTAGATAAGTGAGTCAGTCCGCAGTACTCATGGGTAGATGGTCAATAATGCATCTTCTCTTGCTTTTGAATTGTAATATAAGGTGACTGATGTAAGCTTGGCTCTACAGCTTCCTTCATCATGGGAGTGGATCATAGCAAAACCAAGGAGGCGAGGATGTGTCTCTCCCTCACACACTGCTCTAGCTTGCTGTGGTTGGTATCACTGTACCACTGATAACACCAATGTGCTTTGCTCAATGTATGTCGATATTGTTAATCCTTACATGTCCAGTAAAGGGGGGGGGGGTGGTGACGGAGTAATGTGAGTATAACTAACGTATGTGCAAGTTTATAGATGAAGTATTTTTTAAACTAAGAATTGTGTTCCCTTACTTCATGCAATATTAGTAAGTGTGGTTTTCTCCGACTTACACTTCTGACAAAATGCGCTGACGTCAACGAGGGAATACCCATATACTGTACATCTCGCGCGCCACTCCCCGTAGAAACGAATGTCCCTTGGAAACTGACTTAAAAATCATAATGTTCTTTGACGTAAACATTTGTAACATACTATAATAACAAGGTTTCATGGACGTAGACCTCCCAATATACTAAGACGTCTAATACATGCCAATACGCTTGTAGGAGAAGAGAGGTGTCCTTTATTTACGTTGCTCTCATCTCTTGAAATAATATTACAGCTAACTGAGGAGCGTGTTAACACCTCGTAATCTGTGCCAGGATGGGAGGTGTCAACAGCTGTGTCTTAACTTAACGTTACTGCAGCTAGAACGTTCGTACATCGTAAAGTAAATTACATAGATATTCTAAGCCCGGAAATTTATTGGTAATAATGCTGTGAATGATGTGTACTTTATGCTGGTTTATTACTTTGGTGTTTATTGTGTTGTTGGTTGATACTTAAGTAGGGATTATGTGCTGCTGTAGTGTGTTACATTTATCATGACAATCAGTTCAAGTGTCAGTATGGCTGCACCTCTAGTTTATGTTATGGTTGTGCTGTTGGTTGTGGTGGGTGGGGGTGGTTGTGTTGGTTATGGTGGGGGTGGTGGTGGTGGTGGTGGGGGTGGGGGTGGTTGTGGTGGAGGTGTTGGTGGGGCAGCTGGGGTCCGTGACTCACATACCTGTTAGAGAGGAAGGCCGTCGACTTGTGGTGACTGGCAGGTGTAGATGGATGCTAGTTAATGTTGCTTCGCCACTGTTGTCACCCCAGGGACCAAGACTCACCCCGTATGTGTCGTGTTGGTGGTTCTCAAGTTATTTGTATCTTTGATGGTCGCTCCTGTTATCACCTCTTATCTGATAACAACTGTGGTGTGTACAGTAACTATCTTCTATCATTTTTTTCTCAGTATAAAATGATAAGTCGTTTCTCAGGAGTTAAGTCATAACTCTCTTTACATTATAATGATGAAAAATGCACTAGTATATATACATTACTAGACAAGATACCTATAATATACAAGTGGTCTCGACAACGCCTAGTTCTGTTATGACACACACACACACACACACACACACACACACACACCCCCTCTGGGTTTATGGATCAGTGAATTCTGTTGATTCCAGCTTTATCATGAAAAATAAAATACATCAGGCATTGCTTTTGAAATTTATTGAATGATCACAAAAAATAATCTTAACAAGAATACAGTAATCACCAAACCAAAGTAATAATTAAAGAGAAAAAAAAAATAATTGCAGACTACCAGCCGTATCGCGCCTCAAGGGTGACCTCACACGCGCTATTCATACTCACCTCTAATGCGTATAATGCATTTTTTTATTCAGTTAGTCTCTATAACCACAGTTTGAATAATCAACCCTAATTTTATATTTTCTAAGGCAGTTACTTATTCAGCCAGAATTAATTGTATAATATTTCAATAGGCTTTAAAAATACAAACAGTTTGGTGTTCTATTCAGTCAGTTTTAAGTTTTTCAGAAACTCTCTTAACCAGCTGTGATAAAACAAAATCAAGTCAAAGACTGAATGAGAAACGAGCATTGTTCTGCACCCAGCCTAATTTGGTCCAGTCGACGAGGGACGACTGGAGAAGCACTGGTTAGACTATAAGACAAACCCTCAGTGTGTGACCTTCAGTGTGTGACAAGAAGATAGGTCAGGAGGAAGGTCAGCGAGAGACGTCAGCAGGGGAGGTCAGCGGTATGGTTTAACCGTACAATATCAGGAGTGGTGGTTGTGGTGGTGGTTGTGGTTGCTGGCAGTCTTGGTCGGGACAATGGTGGTGATGGTGATGATGATGATGGTGGTGATGGTGCGGTGTTGTTGGTGGGGCAGGTGGTGATGTTGTTGGTTGTGGTGGTGGGGGTGGTTGTGTTGTTGGGGGTGGTTGTGTTGGTGGGGGTGGCTGTGGTTGGGGTGGGTTGTGTTGTTGGTTGTGTTGGTGGTGTGGCGTGTGTTGGGTGGGTGGTTTAGGTGTGGTGTTGTTGGTGGTGGTGGTGGTGGCTGTTGGTGGTGTTGGTGGTGGTTGTGTTGTTGTTGCGTTGTTGTTGTTGGTGGTGGTGGTGGTGTGTGTTGGGGTGGTTGTTGGTGGTGGGGTGTTGTGTTGGTGGTGGGGTGGTTGTGTTGGTGGTGGGGGTTGTGTTGTTGTTGTTGGTGGTGGTGGTTGTGTTGTTGG